GTGTTTACAGTAGGTTTCCAGGGCATTGGGAAAAGTTAGAGATATGAGTTAATGGAGAGTATCTTAGCAACCTGCGATTCGTTTATGATATTGCCTTGATGAGTAACATGTGCACTTGTTCATTATACAAGCGATTGCATAGCCCGGAAAAGCTTTCAAAGTAGGTACATTACGTCAGAAATGAATGCGCAATCGTTTTCATATAGCTTGCGCACTCAGATTACTTCTTACATCGAGTCGAGTAACTTGGCGCTAACTTCCTAACATTCCTAACTAATAAAGACGCATGTTGAAAAGGAAGCTGGCAGCTTGATGTGATAGGAATTCGATGAAGAGGTAATATGTCGCTGAAGCCAATGTTTCGACAAGTGGATTTGTCTTCGTCTGGCCATCAGCTGCTTGTCAGGGTTGGGGAAAGGGAAGAAGGCGTACATATAAACACTGCTGGGGAAGCCGCTTGCTGCCCTGATGACAGGTATGCAGTTGTAGAAATGGCTTCAGTGATATTCCCTGTTCAGCAATTTCTATATTTCTATACGATAGCAAAGTGCGCCTGCTGAGTGCATCTATAGAAATAACGCCAGGTGTTTAAAAAGACTACTTAACAGAGAAACATTTTTCTTTGTATTCATAAACTATTCTTCCACAATATCGAAAGGACCAAACTTGCTGCCACAACACGCGTGTGAAGCGAGAAAACCCACAAAAAGGAAATTTGAGTGGCGACGCCTCCTTGAAATTCCCCGCCCAGTCATTCATTCTGATGGTGTCTGTTACTGCTAATAGAAATGAAATACACTGTCTTCTGCATGAGACAGAGTTTTAGCATATCGAATTTCATGAGATTCTGTTGGGCCGATTCGGGCAAAATACAAAAAGAGAGAGTGAGAAAGAACGCAAGTCTGTGAATTCTATATCAGAGGTTTTGGCGGGAAACTTAAAGGGGACACTTTATACATTGATTTTCTCATCTAATAATAAACTCATCATGCTGAAGTTGATGCTGAAACCCATCGTGCACACTAGAATTTCAAGAGTATTATTTGTCAGCCTTAATTAATTTATTGTTTCACTTTAGTGTACCTTTAAGGAGTACACGAGGCAGAAATTATGTTAGTAGAACATATTTTATGTAGAGTTTAAATAACGCAATTAGAAAAACGTTAGTAAAATACACATTGCTGAATCTGAAACTCTACAGTACAATATTGGTCGACGCACGCCCGCCCGCACGCACGCACACACACACACACACACACACACACACACACACACACACACACACACGCACACACACACACACATACACACACGCACGCACGCACGCACATACACACACACACACGCACACACACACACGCACACACACACACACGCACGCACACACACGCGAACACATATTCATACACACACACGCACACACACACAAACAGGCTTTACCTGGCTACCCGCGTGGTTTCCGAAAAGTAGAAAAATGAAGCAAGGTGTATGTATCACTGCTACATAAGCAGTGACACACCTACTGTTATTTTTCTTATAACTAACTACTGTAAAAACTTACATTTTGATTTCACTATACCTAACAAATTTTCCGAATCATGCAGAACTATCGAAAGTATCAAGGGAAATATGAAAGAATGCTTTTTACAGCAATGCGAAAGCTGCAGTTCGCGTCATCCTGCGATTTCGTTCATAATACGACCACTGTGCGCTAGACTCTCGCGTTTGATTACCCCGAAACATGCTCTGCAGCCCTCCCTCGTTACGTACCAACGCCATCAGTTTAACGTGCACGCGACGAAAGTTCTTTCGCAAGTAAAACGGCCTGCAACTGATAGTTCGATTGATATGTGGGGTTGAGCGTCCCACAATCACCACATGACTATGAAAGACGCAGTAATGGAGGGCTCCGGAAATTTCTACCACCTGAGGTTTTTTAACGTGCACCCAAATCTGAGCACACGGGCTTCAGCATTTTCGCCTCCACCGAAAACGCAGCCGCCGCAGCCGGGATTCGATCCAGCTTCGATCCCGCGACCTAGGGGTCAGCAGCCCGAGCACCGTGGCGGGGCTGCAACTGATAGTTCGTCCATCGCGATGTATACCGAACGAGTGTTATACGAACATGCTAGCCGCAGCTGATTGCTCAACTTTAGCAGCTCCCTCAATGCTCGAGGCTTGTGAATTAGCGCTGCATTGCATCAAGATTACACGAAGGTGCTGACTGCCGGATCCACGTGTGGACGAAACCGTGGACGCGAACTGATTAAGATAGCGAAGCGGACAGCGCCGCCTTGTTTCGGTTCTCTGCGAGCTCTATTTTTGCTTTTTTTTTGCGTCACAACACTTGCGGCGCTTCGCGCTCAGTGGACTCCAAGGATTGTTCGAATTAATCTGATTGTGACTAAATATGAGTGAATTAACGAGAGTTCGACGCCAATAAACAATATATATGCTGGCCGGAACCAAAAAACACGTCCGAGTTACGAATTTCGATAATTTAGGAGGGTCAGAATTAAGAGAGCCTACTGTACCAGGTTTATGATTTTGCAAACAGCCTTCGTGTAGGCGACGAAATCTACGAAGGATGGTTGAAAATTAATGAACTTGATACAGTCGCGCTGTTCAGTTCGACAGCGCAGGTTCGGCTACCGTCCTCGGTGGCCTCATTTTGATGGGTCGAATAAAAGAGATCCACCGTTGTGTTTAGATACGTGCACGTCGAACAACCTCCGGGGATCAAAATCAGTCTTCAGGGTTCCCTGCCTCATAAATATAACATGGTTTTGGTGCGTAAAGCGTTCCAAATATTTTGTTATTTTTTTAAGATTTGGTCTGTCATTCTCATTTCTTCAAAAACGTGACAATTTTTATTTGAATCATAAATGTGAAGTTATGTTGAGGGACTTTTCAAAGTGGCCCTCCACTTCACAAAGCTACGGAATAGCAACCTCTTTGTTTCTTCTTTTCATCAGATATATCCATAAATCTATTTGGCACCGCGTAGCCCACTTGCAATGGGCCCCACGGGGAGCATTAGCTATACAGACATTTGGCCTTGCACTTCACAAGCAGCCTGAATTCATCCCACAGGTGTGGCGCGTGCATGAACTATTTCGGGATATGGTTCACATTCCGCACAAAAGCCGCCAAATACCACGTAGTGCGTGTAAAGGCCTGCCCTATACAAAACATCGGCTCTTCTGTCATCCGAACTTGGTCGCAGAGCTCGGGTGCATCGAGAATCGTAGTATCGCGCGCCTTCCCTTCGCAACACCCACAATGCTGCATGAAACACTCTCCACAAGATGGCGGCATCAGCCTTTGTCACTAACCACTTTTTTCGGGAATTAATATTCAAAGAGAGAGAGAGAGAGGATTTTTCGACAGCTTACAATGCTTGAGCCCTGTTGCACGACACGAGCGGCATCGCACTTTTTTTTCCGCGGCGGTCGGCAAGTGCTGCAAGGGCCGCATGGCAACTGCCGTCAAAGGGCAGGAATGACTGGCATATGCGCGTGAACGGAGCCTCCGGCCAGTGGCCTTGTTTTCATGCCTGTCAAGTGCGTCGACGGTAACAACACGAAGCTTGTTTTGTTCATCTTTGCTTTCGCACTCTTCGTCTCTGCCGGCAGTTTAACGCGCTCGTCGCGTCGTCGCACACCCTTGCCCGTGGGAGGCCGCCTCCCCGAGGTGTCGCCCCTTTTGTCGCCGACAGGCGCTCCACCCTGACGCATCGTGCACACACGATTCGCGCCGTAGGTCGCGCGTTCGCCAATGGCGCGGCTGCGGCACACGAGCTCCGAGCACCGGGATCCTCCCCCTTTGCTTTTCTTTCGTCATAACTGTGAGCTTCGCTACGAAAAAAAAAAAAAACAAAGACATAGGCTTTACAAAGAATTAATGCGCACATTGAGGGGAGAGGGAAACAACATGTGCGAGGAGTCGGCGCGGGAGGCGCTGCGATCATCTCGAGAGCTTCAAGGAGGCCTAACAGGTGACCGCTGGGCTAGGCCAACTGTTCCGCAACCCCGTTCTGACAATTTGTCTTCATCATCGACACATTACTGGACCGACCCAAAAGCATTGTCCACGCTGAACTGAATCCAACATGGGCGGCCCTCAGCGGATAGGATGGTGCTTACGGGGCTGGTAGAGCTTGAATTGTAAGCAGCCAAGAGGAATGTGGGCCGTGGCTCTAACGCGACAGTAACAGTTAATAATATGTGGCGTTTAACCACACGAACCAACAACATAAGTGAAGGGGAGGGAGTTGAGTTGTGCTTCGCGATGGCGCCTAAAGAAATGTTGCTGTATATGATATTGTGCCGCGCTGGGTTCCCGACTATACCCTCCTATATCTGTATTGCGCTTTTACGCGATTTATTTCGCAAACTGCATACAGTTTGATGTACTTGAGGCCTCTGCGAGGACGTTAGTAGATATGTTGATATGTCGGACTTCTCGAGTAGCGATGTGGTTATTTATGCTTGCGGCGTGTGCTGCTTGTGAATGATACATAATTTATAAGGGAGGCGGGATGGGGAGAGGGCGAGCGTGTATAGTGTACGAGAATTGCAGGTTAGGTTGGCTTGAACGTGTTGATTGATGTGATGATCGATTAATATGTGGGGTTTAACGTCCCAAAACCCCCATATGATTATGAGAGATGCCGTAGTGGAGGGCTCCGGAAATTTCGACCACCTGGGGTTCTTTAACGTGCACCCAAATCTGAGCACACGGGCCTACAGCATTTTCGCCTCCATCGAAGATGCAGCCGCTGCTGCTTGGATTCGATCCCGCGACCTGCGCGTCAGCAGCCGAGTATACTTTAGCCACTAGACCACCGCGGCGGGGCGGCTTGAACATGTTGTAAGGATTGTTTGGTTTTATGGCAACGTAAACACTTTACGTACTCCAAAACGATGCCTGGAGGCCGGAGCCCACGCAGAGTCCACGTGAGATAAAATTGAGTCGAAAAAAAAAAACGTGCAAGTTAACTAAGTAGTTTAAAATGCAATTTATTTTCTACATTTCGTCGTGATGCGTCACGCCCAGTAACCGGTTCCGGCGGAAGTGGCGAAACAGCTTGGGGTATGCCAATGACGAAGGACAAAATATAAGATGTAAAGAACCACTGCAACGTATGAACACCTCTTTGTTATTGTAATGTTGCGGTAAGGCTGAAGACGCGAGACACTTAAACCTACAAAGAAATGAAGTAAAGGCGCAAGTAAATGAAACGCCGCCAAATACGACACAGCGCATATATCAGCGAGCACACACACACTCACACAAATTCTGCCTCCTCTGGCGTCCGTAAGAAATGGGCACACCTTGCCTGCACTTATGGGCTCTCCCACTGTACCAAGCGCAGGATAAACATCAGAATGTGTTGTATAGAATCACGGTGACAAATGTTGCTCCCACATACGTTCAGCTTCACCGATAAACTCTGCTTTAACGAAAACCAATGAAGATGCCAAAACTAACTTAGTGGCACTTAGCACAGATTTATCCAGACGGAACAAGACGAAGAGAACAGACGTACAAAGGCGCTAACTGTTGATTGATTGATATATGGGGCTTAACGTCCCCAGACCACCATATGATTATGAGAGACGCCGTAGTGAAAGGCTCCGGAAATTTCGACCGCCTGGGGTTCTTTAAAGTGCACCGAAATATGAGCACACGGGCCTACAGCATTTCCGCCTCCATCGGAAATGCAGCCGCCGCAGCCGGGATTTCAACCCGTGACCTGCGGGTCAGCAGCCGAGTACCTTAGCCAATAGACCACTGTGGCGGGGCAAGACGCTAACTGTCAACAACTGATTTTGTCTTAATGACGTTGCGTTATTGTTTTAATTACGTTGTCTTAATCACAGACTCTGGGAAGATTGCAACGATGTCATGAAAGGCAGCGATGGCTGGTTAACCACACTGCAGCACGCCTGAGTGCGTTCCGCCTTCGTGCTAAGCATTTCATTGTCCGTCGGCTCCTTGACAGAGCTGCTTGATTAATGGAAGCATCAGCAACTATTAATGGGCTTTGTAATGATTGTGTTAGCATCCCGTCATTATATTTTAGAAACGAAGAACAATTTTTCCACCTGCGCATGCGTGAGTATTAGCTCTTCAATGTATGAATATGATTGATTGATTGATATGCGGGGTTTAACGTCCCAAAAGCACCATATGATTATGAGACCCGCCATAGTGCAGGGCTCCGGAAATTCCGACCACCTGGGGTTCTTTAACGTGCACCCAAATCTGAGAACACGGGCCTACAACATTTCCGCCTCAATCGGAAATGCAGCCGCCGCAGCCGGGATTCGATCTCGCGACCTGCGGGTCAGCAGCCGAGCACCTTAGCCACTGGACCACCACGGCAGGGCAATGAATCAATATGTGCGATCCGGATTCAAATAAACCATTTATTGAAAGTTAGCGCCTGTGGTGTTCAGCTCATGTTGTCCCGTCTTGATAAATCTGTTCTGAACACTTTCGATATGTCGTACTAACAAGGCCAGGAGAGAGCCCTTGCTAAATTCATTTCAATAGGCGTATTTGTCTTGATATTAGGAAGGGGCAGAAAGGAGAAGGAGAAAATAGGAGCTGTTGCCTCGACGACGCTAGAAATGCTCTTGAATCAATTCTGTTGTTCGTAAAAGTGGCGCTCAATGACACAAGAGCTGAGAGCAAAAAAGCTGCCCGAACATTTACCAACTTTTCTTGCTTTTCTTGAGTGAGTTTTTGAAACTCTGCAGGCAGAGATTTGCCGTTGAACCTTGACGCCACTACTACAAAACACATTGTGTTGTCATGATTGAGGTAATTCCATTACAAAATAATAATTAAACTGTAATATTAGGACGTCTTTATATATTCAATAAATTAGTAGCAGTTAAGGTTCAGTGTCATTGGCGTTTGATTGCCTTGAAGGCTAACAAGTAACTTCCTTCCTTTCGTTTCTTTCGTTTAGGAACTTTCGTTTAGGTAGTAGTGGGGTAATTACATCACCAATTCCGCATGACGTCTGCTTAATGCTTCTCATACACAACTATTACTCGATACCTTCATTTATATGTCGTGCTTTCGAACACAACAGTTATGTAAAATATATTGGTAAGCTTTGAAGTCATGTATTTACAGATTTCTTAAACATAATGAACAAGAACCGAACCAACAAAGCTTTCCATATGTATGCTTTCGGCCATTGGCCAGCAGCCCTTGCTAACAAGATATCCGGAATTAGGACTGGCTGAAATTTAAAAAAAAAAAAACAATTTTAGCGTAAGACGCTTTTGTCAATACGACTCTAGGAAATTCACTAGAACGTCGGTTGCGTCATTTATTTGCGAATGCAAAGATATGCAGCAAAATTTTATTGAAGTAATATTCATAAACTTAGCTTACATTAAGTGAGCTTTTGTGGGAAGGGTTGTTATTGAAGAACAAGAAGATGCTGCAGGAGAAAAGAAAATTTGTTCGGGCAAATATGCTAGGTTAATACGCTAGTCAGGGACCACACTGAGTAAGCTTTCCTCGTGCAAATGTACCCCTATTAAGAAAATGTATTAGGTACACTACAAATTTCAGAAAATATTTCATCCAATCATGATGCCAGACATGTCACTATATAGTGAAGCGCTTACCACTAGAAAAACGCATTTACGAAAAGAAAGCTTTGTGAATTTGGCCCCTGGTCTTCGCCATTATTCAGCTGAGTTTGTTCATTCCTGATTACATATCCGGCATCAGGATTAGCCTAAGAAATTCAGAATTTTCATAGCATCGATGCAGTGTCGAATAGTATTATTAGGCGCGAAATAGTAATACAAAGACATGAACTTGATCGTGTTGGATGCGTGACAGGATAAGTAATAATACCAGCCTTGAACAGAAAAAAGCAGGCTACACTATAACTTTTTGTTGTGGGGCATTTCAGTCAACCCTAATGCTGCCCATATCTTTAGAGAAGCCTGCCGGCCACTGGAAAAAATCACTTGCGAAAGAGATGCTTTCTTGAAATCGGCCTAATCATGCTTGCTCCGATCATGTGTTGAGTATAATGAAGTGTACGAGTAAACACGCTCCTTACAACGTTTGATCAATAGCCCCTGCAGTAAGATGTTGATCGTATACAGAACTCAAGAATCCTCCTCGTGACTACTCAGCATACAGCATGCTCTCCAGGTTTTAAGTTTACATTGAAACAAAAGTACTTAGTTCGCCTGTGGTTTGATAATGAGGTAGGTGCGTCTACGGTACCGAAAAATACTGTATAGTTAACGCCATGAATATTTCCATCCACTGACTGCTGACACAAAACCTCTGTCATCTGGCTAATGAGGTTAGGCATGTGTTTGTCGCAATGGGTCAAATCGAATGGCCTTTTGTACGTATGAATTCTGCATGCCGTAGTTTCTATGATGCGCACATATCAAAAACCCATGCCCCCGCAAAACGGTGTTTACACTCACCTAGCATCGCAGCACAAACGGAGCGATACACCGGATGACGCCATTCTCGTTTTACTTGTGTACGTGTTTGCACACGTAAGAGTTCGCTATACAACTCGGATGTATTAATGATTCGTCAGTTTGCACGAACGTAAGTAATGAGAGTGGAACCCAATCTTGGCAACGTTTAACGCTAGAACATTATCTAGTGAGGCTGGTCTAGCTGTACTATTCGAGGAGCTAGAGGGCATTAAATGAGATTTAATAGGGCTCAGTGAGGTTAAGAGGACAGAGGAGGCCTATACAGAACTAGAGAATGGGCACGTCATCTGCTATCGAGGCTTGGCTGACAGAAGAGAACTGGGAGTGGGGTTCCTCATCCACAGAAACATGGCTGGCAACATATAGGAATACTGTACCATTAATGAAAGGGTGGTAGGTATCGTAATTAAACTCAATAAGAGATACAAGATGAAGGTAGTACAGGTTTATGCGCCTACGCCCAGCCATGAAGACGCGTCAGTTGAAAGCTTCTATAAAGACGGGAAATCGGCAATGGGTAAGGTAAAAACACAGTGTACTATACTGATGGAAGACTTCAATGCAAAAGTAGGGAAGAAACAGGCTGGAGACCAGGCAGTAGGAGATTATGGCACCGGTACTAGAAATGCCAGAGGGGAGCTACCAGTACAATTCGCAGAGCGCAATAATTTACGGATTTTGAATACCTTCTACCGAAAGCTAGGGAACAGTAAGTGGACATAAAGGAGCCATAATGGCGAAAATAAGAACGAAATAGACTTTACACTGAGTGCACACCCCAGCATCGTGCAGGATGCGGAAGTACTTGGCAAAGTATAATGCAGTGACCATAGAATGGTACGGTCCCGAATTCGCCTAGACTTGAGAAAGGAACGACAGAAACTGATACGCAAGAAGCCAATCAATGAGCTAGCACTGAGAGGGAAAGTACAGGAATTCAGAGTCTCGCTTCAGAACAGGTACTCGGCTCGTAATGAGGAAACCAACCTTAGCATAGATGCAATGAATGAGAATCTGACGAGTATCATTGCGGAGTGTGCAGTGGAAGTTGGCGGCAGGGTGGTTAGACAGGACACTGGCAAGCTGTCCCAGGAAACAAAGAATCTCATTACGAAGCACCAACGCATGAAAGCCTCAAGTACAACACACCAAATAGAGTTGGTCGAGCTTTCGAAGTTGATTAATAAGTGTAAGGTATCCGATGTGAGAAGGTATGTATGGAGAGAATTGAACACGCTCTGAAGAACGGAGGAAGCGTCAAAGCAGTGAAGAGAAAACTTGGGATAGGCAAAAATTATATGTATGCACCAAGGGACAAGGAAGGCAAAGTAACTACCAATATGGACAGGATAGTAAAATTAGTGGAGGCATTTTACAGAGATCTGTGCAGTAGCCAGAACAACCACGACCTTAATATAAGAACTAGCAGTAACCCAGATGACACCCCAACAGTAATGATTGAAGACGTCAGAAAAGCCTTGGAGAGCATGCAAAGAGGCAAAGCTGCTGGGGAGGATCAGGTAACATCAGATCTGCTGAAAGACGGAGGACAGATTGTGTTAGTAATACTAGAGACCCTGTTTACGAGGTGTTTCCTGACGGGAAGAGTACCAGAATCCTGGAAGAATACTAACATCATCCTAATACATAAGAAAGGAGATGAAAAGGACTTGAAGAATTACAGGCCGATCATCTTACTCTC